CTACATAAAAAACTGTTATTTATATGATTATCAGTGTTGTAAATTGCTAAAAATATAATTAAGTATAAAGGTTTAATGTTAGTTTATTCTATAACAAATTCTAAGCTCCATTTCCCTTCATCTTTTATTAAAAAAATTTCTAATAATCTAGTGATGTAAAGTGCAACGATGAGAAGTGCTTGAAACAGTGTTGAGAAGAGTATTATATCCCTTGCTATATCGCATATAGTCTGTCATTCAGTGCTTTTATTGAGAGTGTGATATTTTGTATTTTAGTGTTGTTGATCAGTGTTGAAAAGTTCTCGGAGCTTTCCATTGAAATATCAACGCTCACACCCACAAAATATCCGCAACCGCATAAGGATAATTTTTTGGAAAATCATAAAAATGTAATCCCATGACTTTTACTCCGAAATGCAGTTTTCCTCCAATTTTCGGCATGGTATGGCTCGCTTTCTGGAGGGAAAATTAGCATAGTGCATAAAAAGTGAAAGTGTTTGCAGCTGCAGTGCATTTAATATGTAGCAACTGACTGGACGGCCTGCCACACAACCACCAGCAACAACAACTGACATCATGTGCAGCATTTAGACCTCGCCCATATCCCGCAACTCAGTGCCCCATCCCCCGCGCTCCAAAGACCCACCTAAATTAGCCATGAATCGAGGCTTCACTTGCTGTCAAAAGGGCGCAAAGTGTGGATAATTTTTGTATAGTTTTTTTTTCGGTCTTTCTTTGAGAAAAATACTCCAGAGATAGAGAGACCAGCGATATGGAAAGTGCCAGCCCACGCGGAGATTAGCTTAGAGGCCCAGAGTGGGCTGTGCCTCAAGTTCAGGCTTTGATTTTCAATTCAGTTCACGATTTGCATGGCTAGACGAGATACTTATTAACCTAAGTGATCCAACAAGAAGCGTGATCCATGTTTTTGGTCACACACCCCGAAGGAAGGCGTGCTCTGCCGCTGCTGCGGCACTTGTTGCACGTTCCGGTTGAAAGGGAACCCACCATACCACACCACACCACACCACTCGATGGGCAAACATTATGGACTAATTGCCCGAGTGTATCGGTTAATGGGGATACATGGTACTTAAGTTTGGTAAAACATTTGCTATACCTACGGCCTGAGTGTCTTGTGAGAATTTCCAAGGGGCCTGGGCTTCAGCTTCGGCTTCGGCTTGGGTTTGGTTTATGTTTTAATTTGTAGAATTTGTTCGTTTAAGAGAGCTAAAGATACATTTTTCTTAATGATTTTCTCAATTAGAAACCAGAATCGAGATGATTTATTATCACTTTCGTTTGAGTTGTTGTGGGGTTAGGGTTTAATAGATCGTTAAAATAGATCTTCAACATTTGAGATGCTCTGGAATGCATTTTTTGAGTTGGGGATGCTTCTACAGATCTTCTTCTCTTCTTCTGCAGATACAGATACTCCGCCTCTTCTACAGATAAATAGATCCTCTGTAGGTTCTACCAAAGGCAATATAGGGTTTCAGGGTGGATTTTGAAAAGGGCTCGAGGCTGTCTTAAAGCCGCTCCAGCTGTTATGCACTGCTTTCTAGCTATTGTCTTTGGTTCTACAGAGAATAGAGAAGAGATCTAAAGAGATCTAAGAGATTTAAAAAATGGTCACCTTAGGGAATCTTTGAACCAGGGATCTGTCTTTTCAAAGATCTTTCCAAAAGGGTTTCTCTTGCCAAAAATTAATCAATCTTCAAAGGAATTTAAGTCCAGCCCAACATATCCATAATGTTCTTTACCCTTTCAAAAATTGTATTAGAAAAATCCCAAAAAAAAGAGTATTCCAACGTTGGTTCCTTCCTTTTTGTAGCCCAAAACTAATAACATCATAATGTCATACTCGTACCATATTTTGGGAAATACCTGATGAAGAAATATCCCCCTCGATTTGATCTTTTGGGTGATTTGGCGCGCACAGAATTTTAACTACCGTCAGAAAACTGCCAAAAAGGCTTGGAAAATTTGTAGGGAAATGGGTTTTTCTTCTTCATTGTTTGTCTTTCACATTATTTTGAATTCATTTCGAGACCGTATGGTGCGGCGGGGGGCGTGCGGGGGGATTGGGGGAGGTGTACGCGAGTACGCGGTAGACACTCAGCTCGTGACTCGATTGACATTTGAATGAGAGTGGAAAATGTGCAAAACGAGCGACCAAACAGAAAAAAAAGAAGTGTCCCCCAGCCCTCCCCCCGGCTCCCCCCGGCTGATGGAATCAATATGCGGTAATGCATTTTTCAGCTATGTGCAGGTATTACAACAACAACGAGCCCCCTCAACAATGGGCCACCGAAAAAGAAGCCATTATCATGCAATATGTTGCAGAGGCAGCTGCTGGCTGCCGTAAGAAACGTTTTGTATTTTTTTTCTTTTTTTCGGCAATTGCACAAGCGGCAGGCAATTCGAAATCGAATTCAAATTCAAATTCAAAAATCAGCTAATTACTGTAAATGCCAGACGGCCTCGGCCCCCGGCCCTCGACTCCCCTCTCTCTGGCGGTCAATGAACTGTTGTTCTCTCTCTCTCCGTCTCCTGTTGTGGCCGCTCTTCTTCACTTTCTTATCAGCATAAAGAGGGAAAGAGCAGGCGGGCATCATTAGGGTTTGTCCGATCCGAAGAGGTGGGGGGATATCCATCATTGGTCTGCAGGGTAACCCCTCCATGGGGTTAGTGTTAAGATAAAATGTAATTCGACTTCATTTAAAACGCATTAACGCAGGGATTCAGTGTTGCAAGCGACTTGAAGATACTCTCTCCATTCAAACCAAGGAAAGTTACGAAACTCCCCCCTCTCCAACTCCTTCTCTCAGTGCTTATACCCTCACGCATACCCTACCTTCCAGCAGCCGCCTGTTGCCTGCGTTCCTTATTTTCTTTGTCTCTTCCTTTTGTCTTTCCCTTTGAGGCCCAGCGCCAGGCATTTGTCTTCTCTTCATCTTCTCCTTTTACGAGCGGCCCTCGGCCGCCCCCCAAAAGAGCAAAGCAGTCAAAATATTTGATCGAGTGTGTGGCTCCTGCTCCAACCTCCACCACCCCCCCCCCCCCCCCCCCCCCCCCCCCCCCCCTCCAGCAATTGTCAGAACCTAAGAGAATCTCAATTAATCAATTCCTGGTCCTACTCTCCTTCGTTGCCGTACCCTGGAAAGAGGGTATTACGATTTGGACAACCAGCAACATGTTGAAGCTTCCAAGGGAATACGAAAATTCAGCAAGGGTATCAAAAGCTTCGACCTCCGAAGCCGCCGGCATTTCTGTTCGTTCTGCCGTTTGTTATTGTTCTTCCTCTTCTTTCTCCCCCCACTGCCATTCTTTGCCGCAACGTAAAAACATGCGTGAAAAGGGTTTCGGTTTCCCTGTGGGCTCGCACTTGAAAATTTGTTGTCGAAGGTTGTTGTTAATGAAGCGTGCAGTTAATTGTTATTGCTTTTCCCGTTCTCTCCATTACACCCTTTTCCCTGCTGCTATTGTTGTAAGCATGTTGCTGGTATTTGTTTTCGGGTGGGGGGGAAATGATTACCGGACTTTGATTTGATTTTTCCAGTACCGCATAAATCATTTTTCTTGTCAGAAGGTGTTTAGCAGCATTTGTTGCTGACTGATAACATTTTAACATTTTCAGACAACATTTTTAAAGTACTGGCGAGAGAGAGAAAATGTTAGCTAGCATTTAAACTGCAAGAGAGCCAATGTTAACATGTGTGAACTGTAAGAGGGAGAAGAAATGTTAAATAATACATGCTGTTACACAAAATGTTAAACGTTTAACACCAGAATGTTGTTGCCATATGTGCATGGTGGCCAGCAACATGCTGCCAGTAAATACCAAACATGTAAAAATGGTATAAAGTAGCTGTTGATCTTGCATAGAACTTCTCATTCAATAAATATTTACTTTATTTGGCTATTTATGCAATTTTTGCCTTTCAATGTTTCCTCCAAACACCCACTGCGCTTCTTGGCAACATTCTTCGGCTCAGCAACATTGAGCAACAAGTGCACTGAGTAACATCTGTTGCTCTCTCGGCTTGTTTCTCTTACTCTCAGCTTAATTCGTGAAATCGGTTAGGGCTCTCTTTTTGCTCTCTGAATCGGTAGCAACATTGAGACCCATTCCATGCACGCTCATTCGGTTTGTAGGGGCCAGACTCATGTGCCGAGAAAACTAGCAACATGTCCCGCAACCCGGGCAACATTCTGCAGACCCTAGGAACAGCATTTGGCCCCGCATCGGAGCTTCGAGCCTCAGTCCCGTTTTTTCCCCACCGAAGGCAACACTAGGCACCGTCGCGTGTGTTTTTCTGTCGTCGGCGTTTTCGACGAGACGAAAACTAAGAAACAACAAAAATCTCTGCGTTTTTAGAGTGTCTGTGTATGTATGCGCATTCTCTGCGCTCCGCGTGTGCAGCTGTGTGTGTGTGTTTTTGTGTGCCAAAGCAAAGAATCAAAAATAATTTCAAGCATTTGTGTGTAGGTGTGTAGGTGCATGTGCGTGCGAGAAGTAGCCGAAAAATAAAGTTGAAGCTGATAAAAAAAGGGCAATAACAAAAAGCCAAAGCCACATAAATAAATGCAGAGCAAAGAGGAGGAGGCGAAGCAACAAAAACAACAGTTAGCGTGGAAGAAGCAGCGTGGGTGAAGTGGAGTAGAAGAAGCGGCAGGGCAGAGAAGTTTTTGCTATATTTAGAAGATTCGAAGAGAGAGAGTAAGCAAGAGAGAGAGAGAGGGAGATTGGAAGGCATTGGAAGACAGAGAGGAGCGAAGCGTTTGTTTGCCGGCTGCTGCAGCGACGAAATTCTTACATAACGGAATCCTTGGCAGAGAAAACCAACCGAAAGGAGAGAAAACAAGGAAACAAACAATAAATAAACAAAATAAACAAAATAAAACAAAAAACCAAACTATAAGCAAAATAACAACAAAATCATAATAAATTAATATCATAACAATATTAAAAATATATACAAATAATCAAAAATACAAGCAAAACCTTTGCAACAACAACAAAACACAATGTCCGCTCACGTCTAAACACTGTTATTTCTCTCTCTGCACCCCACTCCTTCGTACATCAGTCCATCCCCCTCTAACCACTTCAACTCGACCGTTATTTCTGCAATCTATAAAATGTCAACAATAACAACAACTGTGGCCCCGCCGCCCACAACAACAACCACAGGTGGCGGTGGAGGAGGAGGAGGCCGCACTGCCGATTGCCGCAAATTTTCACCGAATATCTTCAATAAAAGCAAATGCAGTCACTGCTTTCGTCAACGAGAGGAGCACTCGGCCGCCGCCTTGGAATGCAATAGGGTGAGTCGCTACAAGCCCCACCCCACCCCAACCCTAGAGCTATAAGAAAAGTGCAGTAAAGGGTGGGGAAAACTTGGACTTTTATTTTCACCTCTTTCGCGCCGCCTTCAGTTCAAGTTCTGTTTCATTCGACTCAAACGCTCCAAGTGAAGATCGTACAAGATCTTGTTTTTGTTCCAGTAGAAGGGATTTTCGATGGGGCTTAGATCTGGATCGTATCCAGCCAGTGGTGCAACGTCGTCGTTTAGTATATCCGTTGTTCCTTCTGGTTCGTCGCTCAGTTTTAGACATCTGAACCGCTTGGCTAGCTTGATATCCTCATCTTCGTCACCTTCTCGCCTTCGTTTGATATTTTCGTGAAATTTGGACATGTCTGGCAGAAGAAATATTATTCTCTTTTATGAAGAAACTTTTCAATGAAAGAATAATCTAAGGGTTCTAGATGACAGATTTGAAGGAGAAATGACAAAGAAATATTAGTTTTAGTAACCTTAGAATTTTCATAGCTTTCGTATAGAATTTATAAAGATTTACCGCTGAAAATATAACACATAAAATGCAGTTTTCCATGGCTCAAAAATTCGCCTAAAGACATGGATTTTTCCACAGCACAGCAAATAGCCAACTAAAAGGAGGTTCCACTGTATTTGCTTCTCTGGATAAATCTTTATTTAGTCTCAAATTCTCCACTGTCTTTTCTTTGTGTTTATTGTTGTTCTTTTTTTTGGTAGGAAATTTATGTTCTGTTCTTCTTTTGTTTCTCCAGTATTTATTTCGGAATACTCTATAATTTTTTAGGGGACATTTGAGAAGTTTTTGGTTGCGTGGGGCGGCAGGGAAATTTATAGAAGAATTTATGTTCTGGGATTAGTTTTAGAATTATGGTTTTTTTTTGAGGGGGAAAGAAAAGACTTTCTTTTGGCATCTGAAGAATGTTGTAAATTGTGTGTAAATTCGGTGGAATATGTTTTTTTTAGTTGAATTGAATTAAAGATGTTCTAAAAATAAAAAGATCGTCCAATTAATATCTCAATTAACACCTTTAAGTGCTGTTGGTAGATCTGACACACATTTTTTTCTATAAAAAAAAGAGTCGACAAATTTCAAAGAAAAAACATAAACTTTTGATTAAGATTAATGCCATTACCTTGATTCAAAGGCCTCTTGTGGCCTGAGGCTAAAATATCTACAAGTCTATCAAACTTTCGTTCAATCAAACTACAGAAAAAATATATACAAAAACCAAGAGAAGATCCAAGAAAAAACTGGAATAAAAATTGCGGTGCCACAAAGGAAAAACTCTCGCTTTCTCGTGTTTTGTTTTTTTCATTGGAATCTGGTCTTAGAATTTGAGGGAACAAAATGCCACCGAAAAAACTAATTAAAATAACAACAAAAAAAACCAATCAAAAAAAGAGAGATAGGGAGAACCCAAAGCAGAAAGAAAGTGAAAATCGTTTGGAAACCAAACCGAAATTTAACGACAATACAATGCCCCCCAAAAAGAGACCCCCTGAACCCCTGGCATCCCCAGACTGCCATAGATTCAGAATCGTATACGGGAGTCGGAGGTCTCTTTGGGTCTCTTGGGGACCTCCAATGATAATCGTAGGGGTTTTTGGTTGAATTTGTATTTAATAAACATCAAAATCGTCGCCATAAAAGAAGAAAATCCAATGGAAGGGCTGAGAGAATAAATGAGAAATGGTCCAGGTCTTTGGAAAGTTTGACAAAAATACTATGAAAGATGTATGCAAATGAGAACAGAGAACAATAGACAGAGAGAGAAGAGAAGAGAACTTGTAGACAGATAAAGAATGAAGATTAGAGACCATAAACGAGGCGGGGGTCTTATCTTCATCTGTTTCCTCGAGAGATAAGCCCCCGGGCTATAATCATGCGTTTTTGAAGGAGATCTTGATCGTAAATTAGAATTTTAAACTGTTCTCACTTTTAGAATCTCATATTAGACCTCGTTTTGGTAAACCATTTTAGGCCTAATTTATGGGGGATTTTAATGCCAGAAAAATCTCTTTTCGAAGTAGAAAAAAAAAACACTCGTTCTATGATGCGTTATATCTACAATTATTTGTCATTGTATATTCGTAGAATCTTTGCCCCATTTCTCCTTGATATTGCCTCATACATTATTTTTAGCTCTCTTTTTTGCTGCATTTTGCGGCGTCTCCTGCCGCCTGCCGCCTGCCTGTCAGATCATTAATTAATATTTTGTATAATTTTTTTTTTTTGGCTCTATTTTTAAACAATTTGTGACCCTAATTCGTATTTTCGTTCTCATTTCGTGATTGTTTGGGGGGGAACTTTGTGTGATTTTTATGAACTTAATTTTATGGTTTATTATACGAAAAATGTTTTATTATTGCCATTGACAGCCGCCTGCCCCAGTTGTTTTTTTTTTTTTTACAATTTTTTGAGTAGCGAAACGCATTGCAAAAATTAATTATTCGTTTGTCAAAAGCACATTCTTCTTTGTTTTTTTTATTGTTTGTGTTTAATTGATCACCAGTGAAAATTATATGAACCCTCGGGCTTTAAATTTGCTTTTTGTGGGCTAAGTGGCGCATAGAAATTGATTTTTGGCTTTTTTTTCGAAAGATTTCTGTTTTCTAAATGCTTGAAATGTGTTTCTGAGTGGAGTGTTTCGGCCACTCCAGAGGAGTGTTCCATGCATGAAATTTGGCACAGAAAAGAGATCTAATTGTATTTGCCAAATATTTTATTTGTTGAGGAAGTCCACAGAACATAAGAGCCCAAGACCGAGAACCGAGAACCCCCGAGGGGGCCCCGAGACGCAAACACTTGACAGCCGTGAAAAATATATTGAGAAAAAGAGTGGGAAAAAGTAGATCTCTCCATAAATTGGTTTACTAGAGAACTTCCTACTTTTTTTCTTTTCTAGAAACACGAACCTATCGAAGTCGTTGGGGGCCATGGACATTGGAAAATGTAAATAAAAATTTTTACTATTTTTGTAGAGTGTGAAAGTCATTTGAGTCAATAATCATTCGTATACCCCCTCCAGTGGGTAGAACAACTGTGTCAACAACAACAACTGTCTGTCTGTCTGTCTCTCGAGTGTGTGTGTGTGTCTCTGTGTGGCAAGTGGCAGCCAGCGGACGGAAGTAGAGCACACGGCAGAAGGAAGGTAGTGGGAGAAAACTAAGGTTAAACACCCTGACTAACAGAAACTATTATTAGTTTTAAGGGGGTTATTGTGGAAACATTTTTTGCTTTGGCATTGACTGTATTTTTCTTGGGAATAATCGATTTCTTTAGGGAAATATAATCGATAAAAGGTTTTCGATAAGAAATAAAGGAAATCTTTGGAGTTTTTCTGCAAGAAAATAAGCTTCAAAGGCATCTTAACCCATAAAATGGATTGGTTGTAGTTCTATTATAAATAATCGATTGATTCACAGACAAATATTGTCTCTTGCGTTCGATAAAAGGTTTTCGATTAGAAATAGAGGAAATCTTTGGAGTTTTTCTGCAAGAAAATAAGCTCCAAAGGCATCTTAAACCATCAAATGGATTTTTTGTATTTTTGTGGTAATTAATCGATTGATTCATTGAAATAATGTCTAATGCTATCGATAAAAGGTAATCGATTGGACACATAATAGAAATAAATATAAATTTGCAGTTTTTGTGGAAGAAAACCCATCCCCAAAGACAACTCCATCCCAAATTTAGACACTCTACCTCTCCCTCTCCCTCTCCCACTCTCCTTCTCTCCTCTGTATTTCTGTGTTTGTTCCACATTTCAGAGAGCAATGTGCCCCTTGTGTAAATGCAGCAGTTGCCCGTAGATGTATGCCCCTGCCCCCTCTGGCTGCTGTTGCATGTAGATCTCTCTAATATGTAAAAATAGAACTCTTCTGGGCTTCCGCTCTCGCCCCATGCGGCAATTAGAAGGCGTCGGCAGGCAGCAGGCAGCAGCATCCCCCCTTTTTGCGGTTACTCAACGCCAAAGACCTCACAGGCGTGTCCCCCCCAACACCCCACCCCCCAAATGATGTGTGCCTCCTCCTGAAGTTGTTCTAAATTTAGCAACACTTTTGCTTTTGTTTTTGTGCCTTTTGCAATGTCGCATTTGCTTTCCAGGGTTCCAGTTTCCAGGTTTCCAGGTTTGCTTTTCCTCGTGGCACATACATAATTGTGTGGCATTGTCTCTGCCCCAGAACGAAGGCTAATGAAGCCGGCAAAAGCGTCCCTAACACGGCTCTCGGATTACCTTGTCTTCGAAGGGAGTCGTCGGAGTCGCAGTCGGTTGATGCGCCGCCAAGGTGGTCGTTAGGTGGAGTTTCCTTTGTAGTTTTGCGGTTCGAAAAAAGGGAAAATGTGCGGGGAAAAACAAACAAAGAAACCTGTCGAGAGGTGCCAAACGGATGTCCAAATCGATTGTCTAATCAATGGAGTGGAATAACGTTGATTATACGAGAATTATTAAGGATTTTATTCCCCTAAGTGAAAGGATACACGCGGAAAAAGGGGGAAACAGATACATTCTGTGACTCCATAAATAAGATTATGATTTTGGGGGCAACTCTGGAGTGCTGTGTGGCATTGTTTCCGTTGACAGTTCAGGTCAAAAGGCTTGCAACATTTTCAGGTTAAGAAAATCTCATCTTGCAACTCGTATTTTTTTGGTTTTTTTTTCGGCGCTGAGGCGCGTGACTGGACGCCCCACCAAGTGCCTTTGCCCCACCACAAGCGGTGGCCCCAAAGGCAGTAATTGTGGTTCTCGTTGTTGTTGTTGCTCTTGTGGGCCGTCTATTTGTCTGGCAAAACAATTGGCAACAGCAACAGTGTGGGGCAGCATACAGTGGAACAAAATGGCAAAGGAAAATGGTAGAAATTTTTTTATTTATTTCCGTAAAAACCAAAAAATGTTCTTTATTTTTAACAAATATAAAGAAAATTTTGTATAGATCCTTTCGCTTATGGGATATATATATTGAAAACCAGTCCTTCGCATG